CTACCACGCCCGGCCACTTCTGTATTTTTTGTAGAGACCTAGTTTCACTATGTTGCCCAGGCTGGTCTTGAACTCCTGACCTCAAGTGATCCTCCTACCCCAGTCTCCCAAAGTGCTGGGAATACAGGCATGAGCCACCGCTCCTGTCCCAGAGACTTTTCTGACTGCATGGATCTCCACATCAATCTGTCCCCATCCCTGCCTGACTCAGGTCACTCTGTCTCGGTTCTGTCTTCCTCTGCCTCCATATCTCTTCCTCTGTTCTCTCTCTGATTTGTTCTCTGGCTGTTCGCTCCTCCCTATCTCTGTCTCCAGCTCCCTCCTGCCCTTTATCCCCGATCCATCCGTCATCCTGCCCTCAAATCTCTGTGTCTCAGCACTTGTCTTTCAGTTTCAGCCAGGACCCCGCCTGCTCCATTGCACGGTCCCCATCTCAGCTGCGTCCAGACGGGGGCAGTGTTGAGCTGAGGGTGCACTTGGTTCCTGCACTGCCCTAGGGAGTCAAGGTCAGAAGCAGGGTTGGTGGGGCGCGTGTCTGCATCTAACGCCTCGGCCCTGCATCCAACCCTTCTCCAAAGACTTCATCCCTCCCTCCTGCCTCAGGAAAACCAGGGCTGGACTAAGCGGATCAGATGGAGAGTCCCAAGCAGCGCCTTCCTGCTTTCCCCGATGTCAACGGAAGGTGGATATTTACATCATGGGGCCTGAAAAGGACCACTAAGATCAAAATGCCAAAATTACTAATTTATCTTCTAAACATACTCCTCAGAAGGATATATTCATATTCATATTCATTGTGTAGACTGGAAAAAATATTTCTCCTCCTTCCTTTCTTCCTTCTTCTTTTTTTTCTTTTGAGACAAGAGTTTTGCTCTGTTGCCCAGGATGGAATGCAGTGGTAAGATCTCAGCTCACTACAATCTCCAGCCCCTGGGTTTAAGCAATTTTCCTGACTCAGCCTCCTGAGTAGCGGGAATTACAGGTGTGTGCCACCACTCCTGGCTAATTTTTGTGGGTTTTTTTTTTTTTTTTTTTTTAGACAGAGTTTCGCTCTTGTTACCCAGGCTGGAGTGCAATGGTGCAATCTTGACTCACCGCAACCTCCGCCTCCTGGCTTCAGGCAATTCTCCTGCCTCAGCCTCTTGAGTAGCTGGGATTACAGGCACGCGCCACCATGCCCAGCTGATTTTTTGTATTTTAGTACAGACGGAGTTTCACCTCGTTGACCAGGATGGTCTCGATCTCTTGACCTTGTGATCCACCCGCCTCGGCCTCCCAAAGTGCTGGGATTACAGGCTTGAGCCACCGCGCCCAGCTTAATTTTTGTATTTTTAGGAGAGATTGGGTTTCCCCATGTTGGTCAGGCTAGTCTCGAACTCCTGACCTCAAGTGATCCACCAGCCTTGGCCTCCCAAAGTACTAGGATTATAGGTGTGAGCCACCGCGCCTGCTTGCCAAAGGATCTAATGGCGTCTTTTTAATGTTGTTGTTTTTTTTTTTGAGACGGAGTTTCGCTCTTGTTACCCAGGTTGGAATGCAATGGCACGATCTCGGCTCACCGCAACCTCCGCCTCCTGGGTTCAAGCAATTCTCCTGCCTCAGCCTCCTGAGTAGCTGGGATTACAGGCACGTGCCACCATGCCCAGCTAATTTTTTTGTATCTTTAGTAGAGACGGGGTTTCACCATGTTGACCAGGATGGTCTCGATCTCTTGACCTCGTCATCCACCCGCCTCAGCCTTCCAAAGTGCTGGGATTACAGGCTTGAGCCACCGCGCCCGGCTCTTTTTAATGTTTTTAAATTTTGTTAGGGATGGGGTCTTGCTCTATTGTTTGGACTGCAGTGCTATGTACAGGTGTGATTATGACTCACTGAATCCCAGAACTCCTGGGCTCAACTGATCTTCCCACTTCAGCCTTCTGAGTAGCTGGTCCTACAGTTGCATTCTAACACACCCAGCTTTTTTCTTTTTTAAAATTTTACAATTTTATTTATTTATTTTGAGATGGACTCTTGCTCTGCTGCCCAGGCTAAAGTGTCATGGCGCAATCTCGGCTCACCGCAACCTCCGCCTCCAGGGTTCAAGTGATTCTCCTGCCTCAGCCTCCTGAGTAGTTGGGATTACAGGTGCCCACCAATGCACCTGGCTAATTTTTGTATTTTTAGTAGAGATGGGGTTTCACCATCTTGGCCAGACTGGTCTTGAACTCCTGACCTTGTGATCCACCCACCTCAGCCTCCCAAAGTGCTGGGATTGTAGGCGTGATCCACTGTGCCCAGCGGTTTTTTATTTTTTGGAGAGACAGTGTCTCCCTATGTTGCTTGCCCAGGCTGGTCTTGAACTCCTGATCTCAAGTGATTCTCCCATCTTGGCCTCCCAAAGTATTAGGATCACAGCCATGAGCCACTGTACCTGGCCTGTACTAATTATATATATATATATATTTTATTATTTGACACAGAATCTTGCTCTTTCGATCAAGCTGGAGTGCTGGAATGCAGTGGCGTGGTCTCAGCTCACTGCAACCTCTGTCTCCCGGGTTCAAGCAATTCTCCTGTCTCAGGCTCCTGAGAAGCTTGGATTACAGGCACCCACTACCATGCCTGGCTAAGTTTTGTATTTTGAGTAGAGATGGCCTTTCACCATGCTGACCAGGCTGGTCTCGAACACCTGACCTCAGGTGATCTACTCACCTCGGCCTCCCAAAGTGCTGGGATTACAAGCACGAGCCATTGCACCTGGCCAAAATTTCCTTTTTCATCCAGACTTATGACAGAATTCCATCTACTCCTGATTTTTAAATTTTTTTAAACAGAGTCTCACTCTGTTGTCCAGGCTGGAGGGCAATGGTGTGATCTCGGCCCACTGCAACCTCTGCAATCCCGGGTTCAAACGATTCTGCTGCTTCAGCCTTCTGAGTAGTTGGGACTACAGGTGTGTGCCACCACGCCCGGCTAAGTTTTTGTATGTTTAGTAGAGACAGGGCTTCACTATGTTGCCCAGGCTAGTCTCAAACTCCTGACTTCAGGTGATCTGCTCGCCTTAGCCTCCCAAAATGCTGGGATTACAGGCATGAGCCACCATGCCTGGCTTAAGATGTATTTTGGAGTTCATGTGATACCCATGTAATAAACTCTCAGAGAACCTCTTCTCCCATCCCCAAAGTCATGATCGTGTGTGTTTATTTATTTATTTATAAGAGCCATGGTCCCACTAGGTTGTCCGGGCTGCAGTGCAATGGCTAATCACAAGTGCAATCATCACATGCTCCAGTCGTCAAGGAATCCTCCCACTTCAACCTCGCTGGTAGCTGGGAATACCAGGCTCCATGACTGTTCCCACTGGTGGTTAAATAGATGTTACTTATTTGATGTCTGTGTAATGGTTACAATTGTATCCTCTAAGAGGGAAGGTCGCTGTGGGGGGTTTCATGGCCTGACATTTACTGAAAGAATGAATGGAATGCCCTGAAATTCACTGAGCCAGGCTGGTCTCTTGAGTTCTCAGCTATGATCACCCCAGGCCCTAGGAAGCCAGGATTGAAGAGGCGGGACAGAGGGATTTGGATGCATGCCAGCTCTGAGCCAATATGGCACATTTGTGCAAACTGGAAAAAGGGTCCACTTCCAGATGGGCTAACTAGAAAACAGTGAGCTCTCTGCGTGGACACAATGCCAAGGACACTTGGTTTGATGAGTACACTCTGGGTCTGTTTAAACCCCACTTGCCTTCTTGACCAGGGGCCTTTGTGCAGTGAGCAACCTGGACAGCCTCTCAAGGCATCCCCGTTGTCTACCCTAAAGCCATTCCCTTTTTTCCTTGGTAACACTGCCCTAATTTTCCGCAAGCTGCATGTCCTTCAGCGGCGGCGGATCAACTTCCCAACTGCATAATCTGAGGCTAAACTAATGCCAGAAGTCTCATTTCTTGTGCCTCTTATTGGGGCCACAGGGCTATGTGGTAATTCCTACCCACTGGATTTGGGGGGAAGTCGCTGGAAGGCTTAGGAAGGTTTTGCTCATTCTTCGAAGGGACCAAGATAAGAACAAGCCTTTTTGCTGTTTTTGAAAGGAATTATCTGTATGTGATGGCTGTGTGTGTAGCAGCCCTTTGGGCACCAGGAGATGACACAGCTAAGAGATGGTGGCACAGTATATGAAGATGGAAGGAGCTCAGGGGACTGATGACTTTGCGGAGCTGGATACTGACTGACCTTGACTGGAGCCCGCAAGGAGAGAAGGAAGAGCTGGAGAGCAAACTCGAGTCTCCCAGGCGAGCTGCTCAGTGAGACTGTGAATTGCTGAGGTTTGGCTAGATCTTTAACTGACCCTGGACTGGGCCACTTGTGGTCCTGTGTCATACATATGATGATGGTCTTTGAACCTGGTTTTTTCTTTTCTTTTCTTTTCTTTTTTTTTTTTTTTTTTGAGATGGAGCCTCTGTCATCCAGGCTGGAGTGCAGTGGTACAATCTCAGCTCACTGCAGCCTCCTGGGTTCGAGCAATCACCTGCCTCAGCCTGCCAACTAGATGGGACTATAGGCACCTGCCACCACACCTGGCTGACGTTTTTGTATTTTTAGTACAGACGAGGTTTGACCATCAAGGCCAGGCTGGTCTTGAACTCCTGACCTCGTGATTCACCTGCCTTGGCCTTCCAAAGTGCTCAGATTACAGGTGTGAGCCACCACTCCCAGACTTTTTTTTTTTTTTTTTTTAGATACACAGTCTCGCTCTGTTACCCAGGCTGGAATACAGTGGCACCATCTTGGCTCACTGCAACCTCTGCCTCCTGGGTTAAAGTGATTCTCTTCCCTCAGCCTCCCGAGTAGCTGGGATTACCGGGGTGCACCACCACACCTGGCTTATTTTTGTATTTTTAGTAGAGACAAGCTTTCACCATGTTGGCGAGGCTGGTCTTGAACTCCTGACCTCAAGTGACCCACCCGCCTCAGCCTCCCAAAGTGCTGGGATTACAGGCCTGAGTCACTGCTCCCAGCCGTCGTTCACAGAGATTTCTGTTACTTGCAGCCCAAAGCGTCTTCACAGAAGAGAGGAGGGTCCTGTTCACGGAACAGCTGTCACGCCCCAGTGCTTATCCTGAGGGGGCCAGAGGAGGAGACGGGATTTCAAAGGCAAGGCCAGCCTCAGTGATTGAGTAAGGGGGACAGGTCTGCAGCGATCCCCATCCACTCCGGCAGGAAGGCCGCCTCCGGCTTAAAGATTTTGAGGAAAGGGGAGTCGGGGAGGGTGTAATTGGCCAGGTAGATGGTGTCCCCTCCGGCGAGGTAGGCGGCCCAGATCCCGAACGTCCCGATGGTCATGATGGTGTGGTTACACTGCGTGAGCAGTGCAAAATCTTTGGCGGGTGAGCCCTCGATGCCATCGCCAGCAAACACCACGTCGCCGCGGGAGGTGTCGATGTTCTGCCGACACCAGGGCATGCCGTTGCTGGTGACCACGAAGATGGGGGAGCTGTGGTGAGCCCGGAACCAGTCCAGTGCCTGCTCGAGATAGCGCCGGTCGGCCACTACCCCCTTCCACACCCGTGGCATGACGCGGACGTAGTCCCCCCGGCGCACATGGACCCCCACAAAGGTGCCCGGCAGCCTCCCATTCAACCGCAGGCCCCGCAGGAACCTCTGGGCCTCCTCGCGCACGTGGTCGTGCAGGGTGAACTCCTGGAGGATCTCCTGGCGGAGGTGGTGGTAGAAGGTCCAGGAGCAGGGGTAGCCCGTGAGGCGGACGTACTCCCCCGGGATGTGGCGGTACGCCTCCTCCATCCAGTCGTTCAGGTGGTAGTTCCGCCAGTGGATGCTGTTGGCCGTGGAGCTGTGCAGCACCGGCAGCGTGATCTTGAAGATGGGGGCCAGGGTGCTGTGCATCTGGGCGGGGATGAAGGCGGGCCGCCCGTTCAGCTTGGCCAGGGCGTACAGCGTGGCGTACTCGCCCATCTGGTTCCCCAGGCGGCCTATTGCATTGATCGTCCACATGCCCCTGGGCTGGCTGGGTCCCAGCGCCGCTGACGTCGAGGTCATCGGCCTCTGTAACTCCCACGTGGCTTGAATCCTTGCTAGCCGCTGCTGAACGTGAAATACAGTGGACGCCGTAAAGACAAAGAGGACGAAGTGGGCCATGGGAAAGGAGAAAGACACCTGGCTGATCGGCATGGCTGTGGGCGGGTGGAAAGCGGGACACGTTAGCCGGGAGCTGGAGGCCCGGGGCGCCGGGGGATGAGCCGTGCAGGGGCGCGCAGGCATTGGGTGGGTTCATCTGAGTGTGGTTTTACTTCGGGTGTGTAAATACTTGGCACACACATGCATATGTGTATGGGCAGGTATCACGAGTGTGTTTCGTTTTGGGTTTTTTTTGGTATTTCTTTATAGCAACTGTTTTGTGTGTGTGTGTGTGTGTGTGTGTGTGTGTGTGTAATGGAGTCTCACTCTTGTTGCCCAGCCTGAAGTGTAATGCTGTGATCTCTGCTCACCACAACTTCCGCCTCCCATGTTCAAAGCAATTCTCCTGCCTCAGCCTCCCAAGTAGCAGGGGTTATAGGAATGTGTCACCACACCCGGCTAATTTTTTATTTTTAGTAGAGATGGGGTTTCTCCATGTTGGTCAGGCTGGTCTCAAACTCCTGACCTCAGGTGATCTGCCCGCCTTGGGAGCCCCTGCACCTGGCCTAGAGTGTGTTTATACAGATGTGCATACATTGTGTTCAAGGTGGTGTGTGTACACAGGTGGATGTGTTTGCATTGTGTGTGATGCAGATATGGGGATCCATGCACTGCATACATGTACAGGTGTGTGCAAATGGACATGTGTGCGTGGTAGAGTATGGGTGTATATATATTGTGTACATATAAGGGTATATGTGTTCAGCCTGGCCAACATAGTGAAACCCCGTCTCTACTAAAAATTCAACAAATGACCCAGGCGTGGTGGCAGATGCCTGTAATCCCAGCTACTCGGGAGGCTGAGGCAGGAGAATTGCTTGAACCCGGGAGGTGGAGGTTGCAGTGAGACGAGATCGCCTCACTGCACTCCAGCCTGGGCAACAGAGTCAGACTCTGTCTCAAATAAATAAATAAATACAGCAGAATGTTCTACAAGGATGTCCCTGCCTCCTCCGTAGCTCCCTCCCTTCCTCGCCGAGGAAGGAGGGGGTGGCTGCTGAGTGTCCCAGAGCAGGAAGCTGGGCACTGACCTTGACTGGAACCCGCGAGGAGAGAAGGAAGAGCTGGAGAGCAAACTCGAGTCTCCCAGGCGAGCTGCTCAGTGAGATTGTGAATTGCTGAGGTTTGGCTAGATGCCTTGAGGGGTGTAGTCAGGAACCTCTTATGTACTGTGTGACTTTGACCCAGGGCTTTTACCTCGTCTGTCCATCAACGGGGGTTTGAGGCAGCAATAAAAACTACACCCCGCTGGAGGTTGCAGTGAGCTGAGATCACACCATTGCACTCCAGTCTGGGTGACACAGTGAGACTCTGTCTCCAAAAAAACCACCACCACAACAACAACAAAAACCTCCCTTGGGGGCTGGGTGGGCACAAAGGGAAATGCTCTATGACAGCTGGGCTTGGTGGCTCACTCCTGTAATCCCAGCACTTTGGGAGGTCAAGGCAGGCAGATCACGAGGTCAAGAGATCGAGACCATCCTGGTCAACATGGTGAGACCCCGTCTCTATTAAAAATACAAAAATGAGGCCGGGCGCGGTGGCTCAAGCCTGTAATCCCAGCACTTTGGGAGGCCGAGGCGGGTGAATCACGAGGTCGAGAGATCAAGACCATCCTGGTCAACATGGTGAAACCCCGTCTCTACTAAAAATACAAAAAATTAGCTGGGCATGGTGGCGTGTGCCTGTAATCCCAGCTACTCAGGAGACTGAGGCAGGAGAATTGCCTGAACCCAGGAGGCGGAGGTTGTGGTGAGCCAAGATCGCGCCATTGCACTCCAGCCTGGGTAACAAGAGCGAAACTCTGTCTCAAAAAAAAAAAAAAAAAAAAAAAAAAATACAAAAATGAGCTGGGCATGCTGGCATGTGCCTGTAATCCTAGCTACTCAGGAGGTTGAAGTGGGAGGTGCTTGAACCCAGGAGGCGGAGGTTGCGGTGAGCCGAGATTGTGCCACTGCACTCTAGCCTGGCAACAGAGCAAGATTCCGTTCGTTCAATCAATCAATCAATCAAATAGAAATCCTCTATGACATGGTCTGTCTCTGGTATTCAGAGCAGAATTGATGTTCCAAACTCACACTTATTTCAGGCTTGAACAAAGTACCTACCACCCAGAGTCTGCCTGAAGTCATCATTTTTTTGAGTTACTTTTTTGTAGGATTGGTGGTGGTGGTGGTGGTGGGGTCCTGCTATGTGGCCCAAACTCATCTCAAACTCCTGGTCTCAGCCTCCTTTCCCAGCCTCTATAAAGTGCTGGGATTACAGATGTGAGCCACTACACCTAGCCTATCTTATTGAGTTTCAACAACAGCCCTGGTGGGGTGCGGTGGCTCACACCTGTAATCCCAGCCCTTCAGGAAACCCAGGCGGGCAGATTACAAGGTCAAGAGTTTAAGACTAGCCTGGCCAAGATGGCAAAACACCATCTCTACTAAAAAAAAAAATTAGCGGGGTACGGTGGCAGGTACCTGTAATAATACCAGATACTCGGGAGGCTAAGGCAGGAAAATCACTGGAACCTAGGAGGTGAATGGTGTAGTGAGCCGAGATGACGCCACTGCACTCCAGCCTGGGTGACAGAGTGAGACTCCCTCTCAATAAATAAATAAATAAATAAATAAATAAATAAATAAATAAAATAACAAGAACAAACAACAGCCCTATCCGGGAGTGGTAGCGCACACCTGTAATCCCAGTGCTTTGGGAAGCCAAGGTGGACAAATCACTTGAGCTCAGGAGTTCAAGACTAGCCTGGGCAACATGGCAAAACCCTGTCTTTACAAAAACAGCAAACAAAAATTCCATGAGCCAGGCGCAGTGGCTCATGCCTGTAATCCCAGCACTTCGGGAGGCCGAGGCAGGAGAATCGCTTGAATTCAGGAGGCAGAGTTGCAGTGAGCCAAGATTGTGCCATGACACTCCAGACTGGGCAACAGAGCGAGACCCTGTTTCAAAAAAAACCCAAAGCAACAACAACAAAAAACCCAAGCAGGTGACATTACGTCCATTTCACAGCAAAGGAAACTGAGGCTCAGAGATTGGCCCTGTGGCTGGGAGGGGTTCAGGTGAGCAAGGGGCTGGCCCAGGGATGTGGCGGGCCGAGGAGGTGCTGAGATGGCAGGGGACGATTGGAAGAGCAGCTACCAGGGGCCTGAGGGGAAATCTTGAGAAATGCCAACAGCCAGAGTGGAATCCAGGGCAGCAGGACTTCTGGTAGAGGGGAGAGCTTGGGGTTTCCCCAGTCCTCTGAGGTCAGGAAGTCCTTCTTGTTATCTGCCCTCAGTCCCTACAGCTGCATCAGACACCTCAGGCTGGGCCATAGGGGCAGAGGAGAGAGAGAGGTCAAGGGCTCTTCCTCCATCTGGGTGCCCTGGGGGGTCTTCCCTTGGAAGATTGTGGTTAAGATGCCAGAATGGAAAGGGGCCCTGATTTCTCTCTCTTTTTTTTTTTTTTTTTGAGATGGAGTCTCACTCTGTCAACCAGGCTGGAGTGCTGTGGCTCGATCTCAGCTCACTGCAACCTCCACCTCCTGGGTTCAAGCAATTCTCCTACCTCAGCCTCCTGAGTAGCTGGGATTACATGTGCACGCCACCACACTTGGCAAAGTTTTTGTATTTTTAGTAGAGATGAGGTTTCATCATGTTGGTCAGGCTGGTCTCGAACTCCTGACCGCATGATCCACCCACCTCTACCTCCCAAAGTACTGAGATTACAGGCGTGAGCCACCACACCCAGCCAGGGCCTGTTTCGAAGCAGGAGCCCGGCCACCAACTCTGTCAGAGGACTGGGGTCACTAAAATCCATAGGTCTTTTTTTTTTTTTTTTTTTTTGAGATGGAACCTCACTCTGTTGCCCAGGCAGGAGTGCAGTGGCACCATCTTGACTCACTGGAACTCATGGGAACGCTGCTTCCTG